TCAATTGAGAAATTATCGAACAGCCGCAACTCGGGTGAAGTCGAATTTCAAAGTAATCAACTAGGTGCGACGCGACCTTTCCATTCGACCTCCTTCAGGAGTTCGTATTTAAACGGGCCCTTCCCGCGGACTTTGTTCGTGAAATTGATCCCAGAACCTTTGAGATGTTTGAATCAAAGCGCACCGCTTATCAGTGCCATCTAAACGCGATTATAATTGTAGATGTATATGAAAACAATCACCGTATTCAGCAAGACTAAAGCCTATATAATAAAGTACAACCTTCCGCTGTCATAGAATTGATTTTGGAGTTGGCACTTATCCGACCGAACTAAAATCTACGTTAAAACTGATAAAAGACGTGAAAACTGAATGACCTTCCTTAATTTGTAAATTATAACGTTGATTTAACTGTGTCATATTTTTTTTTAATTTCCTGCTTTAATGTTGTACGAAAGAGTTAAGTTGAATAATACAATATTTTATTTTATAATATGAAGTTAAATAGCTAATTCCTAAATTAGTGTAGAATATACCGATGTGAATTTTATAACAGGAAACATTTAAAAGTTATGATACCAAGTTTCAAAATTGATAAAGTCAGTGTGATAATTTCAGATCGAAATTAACGTTATTTATTTGAATAATAATTATAATACAAATATTGAACCTCATGTTGTCGGTACACTTGTTATATATATATTTAGAACAGAAGTAGCGCAGGGTTTATAGTTCACTTTTCCTAACTTGAATTCAAGAATTCTATTTCTAAACACATAAAACCCATCGTTTCATAATTTTTCTAACAAATCTTTCCCTAAAATTTCACACATTTTCAGTTTTTGATTGACTAAAAATCACTTCTAATTCAGAGAAATAAAGAAAGACATTCAGGCCGCAAGTTTTTCGGCGGGTAAGATTTTCATCGAATCATTGTTCTGGCCTTTTGTTGCCTTTTTACTTAAAATGCCTTGATTTTGATGCATAACTTTTCAAATACAAATATCCTGTACCATTTTTCACGAAAATGACAAAACTTAATTGGATTAGACACATATCAGAACTCTCTTTTTTCCATGGTGGAAAACATACGTAATAATTTTACACACACATTCCACAGCCATCATCATCGCATCACAACAACATATTATGTACGAACAACAAAACCTTAATTTATATTTATATATACTTCTCATTAATAAAATTAACGCAGTTAACTTCTATACATAGTATTATTAATGAGGGAACATGAAAATAATATTAAACCTGACGTGCTATACACCCATATCATTAAGCAATTTAGTTACATATGAACAAGTTATTCAATTCACGTAATAACATTTTTGGTAGAAAAAATACGTTAAACATTGTAATTCTTTTGAAAATAAATCAAAGTTGCACTTTTCATAATGTGTAATTTTTTTAACAAATAGCCGTATAACTTAATACCAACAGCATTTCCGAGGGTGCCAAATATTTTATGAGTGTTAAGACGGTTTAACTTCATGAATGACAAGCAACACTGAAGCATTTGTGATTTTGTTTCTAATAATATGCAAACATTCTAGATTATAGTAAAAATCTTTTAAACCTTTTCAAAACTTTATATTTTTGATTTTGTATTAAGTTTGAATGGTATGAGAGAATTAAGTTTTCTTCCACTTTTCTGAAAATATTCATTCGAATTTCTCTTTACCAAGGAGAGTGAATAGTGCTACTGAGCTAGTATCTAAGTTCTTAACGTCGAAGGTCGTCTTCAGTTACCGAAAAAAACCGACTTCAAACCGAAAACTAAAAACATTGTTAACAACTATAACATTTGCGGATTGCCCTCGATTTCTCGGGGATGCCATCATCAGATCCGGGTTTCCTTTCCATTATGATACTGCCCTTGGGATATCTTCTTTCCAACAAAAAAAGAATCATCGAAATCGGTTCATAAATGACGAAGTTATCCGCGAACACCCATAAAAAATATAAAAATATATATACGGTCGAATTGAGAAACCTCCTTCTTTTTTGAAATCGGTCAAAAGATTGAATATATTAATAATGCTATGACGTATGTACTGATATTCCTACAAGTCATTGCGAGCGAGTTTTTGCCTACAGCATTTTATCTATGTAATCTTATAATTCATTTTGAAATCATATTATCTTCTAGTATAAAGAACGTTTCGAGTCGGAATCCGCTTTTCTAGAATATTCCAGAATTTTAGAACCGATTTCATTTTTAAACCTTGGCGACGAATCAAAGAAAAGAAAAAGTTATTTGACTACGCGACCTTAAATTTATATTCGAATCAGAAGAGATTTAAATATTAACATACGTAAATGTGGATTTCGCATTAATTCACGTTAGAATTGCTTGCTTTAAGTTTCGGGCAGAAAATTTAACTTTCGCCAAGTAGAAAGTGCGGGGAAACGTGCGGTGTTTTATGCAAAGATGTGTGGATTTCATTAAATAAATGTTTATCAAATAAGGATTGCGGTGAGTGTTGTTTGAACGAACACGGATGCTAATGACTCTCTCAATGAATTAATATTTGTCAGGTTAAATAGTTCCAAGGTTAAAATAATATATTGAAATCTTCGTTTCGTTCAATGTCTGAAATTTTTATGACGATATCTTGAAGGGGTTGAATTGGATATCCTAAAAGATAAGACAAAACTGCTAAGAATAATTGTTTTGTCTTTATAGACACCATGCCCAAAAAATTATAAGAAACTCGTCAATTTCACGTGAAAACACATAAATTTGCTATGACACAAAGTAACAGTGAAATAAAGAGTTCTTTTTTGTTGGATCGCCCACTTTTGGCCTTTAGGAGGCCTGTAACAGTCCATATGCGTCCCACTGAAACCAGGCGGCTTAAAGTGGGACGCAGAGGACTGTACAGAGTGTATTAGGGCATAAGAAACATAGCGTGGTAGTGAGATTTTTTGAAATTTAGTATTATTTTATTCTTGGTCAACAAACTACATTACATACAATATGCGTTGATGTTGCTACGAACTTATCAATTCTCAACATATTCCCTGCAGAGTGAAAATGGAACGAACACACTATTAAAACTTTATTTGCTTTATTGCTTTTACCTACTTTTCTATGCATTCCAGTATATACGTGTATCTATAAGAATATTTATTTTCTACATCATTGAGATGCAAAAGAATGAAATTAATGTGGATGAAGCAATCTCAGATCAAGTTAAAAAGGAAATAAACAATAAAATGCTTAATTAAATTTTCGTGACTGTCTCAATCTTGCACCGGTTGACAAACCGATATCTACATTCAGAGAAGAGTTGGCAAGAAACTCGGCGGTTAAGTATCAATATTTTTGTTACTAACGTTTTTTTTTTTGTTGAGATAGAATAGGTTTCCATAAAATGTTCACGTTTACCTCCATGCACAGACAACTAAAATCTTTAAAAAAATGGGCAGCCCCTTTACTCGTCCGATGAAGATCCCTTCTAATCTACTGAGATAGCGTGCTTCTTTCCCGGAAAAGTAAAACAACACCTAATAACCTAATGAGTGTTAAAGTAGCGTTTTCATTAAGGGTTTCTTAGACTACTTTCTTTATATTAGATTTGAATTATTCATTAAGTACTTTGACCACCACCTAAACCACAAACAACAAAAACTATTGTGATGGTTATAAGTGGAATATTAAGACCAAATTTGCTTTATTCCTTAACGGAATAATGGAAGCTAAACGGATGAAGATTCGCTTAAAACAATTACCGCGTTGTTACTTACTACAAGTACATTTAGTTAAAAACGATGCAGATTAATAACGGTCGTACTTTTAAGAAAACTCGTTAGCGTTAACCGGCGGCCGTTGTAAATTATAATGTGCGTAGATGGTATAAATTTTGCTCGGGTAAGAGAGACGAGTGCCCGCTAGGACATTTGAAACAGCCACACCTTTTAGAACACCAAAATTCGGAGATGTTAAGAATATTTACGTAGAGGAGGGCAATGAGCAAACCGCTCACTTGATGGTAAGTGGTCACCATCACCTATGAACATTAGTAATACCATAAGATTGGCAGAAGCCTTACTAGCCTCAGTAAAAACTAGGCCCTCTTCATTTTAGTTTAACACCATCTATTTTAAAAAGACATTGAGGAATTCTGTCTGCACTTTCCACCTCTGTTTAAGATAACGATGAAATATGTTAAGACACAAAATGACATTGTGAGTGCAATGAAAACAATTGAATTAATCCAAAATATCAGAAGGTTAAATCAAAGAATATTCCAAATATAATAAAATCGTAAATGTTGCTTAGAGTTAACTTATGACGAATTCGGGCTCTAGACTTAAGTTATGACTATACTTAGATGAAGCATTAACTTAGCATAGTATTTCAATTATTCCACCCCTTTAGGGATGAAAATTCCAATAGAAACAAATTCCATGACATGAATCAGTACATCATAGCAACATAAGGGAACGTTGAGGGCAGGTAAGTATTTAGAAAATCTCTGAATACCTTCTACGGTCAATATTTGGGTTTGAATACCTATTTGGTAATTGGACCCGGAGGCCGAATATTCGACCGCTAAATATTATGTAACCGATTTATTAGAACTTCACGCACATCACGGATTAATGGGACCTATTTATGTTTGTAGTTTTGTAGAGAAATCGTCAGGTACATTTTTTTCGACAAGTTTTTATACCTACATTTACTTCAACATTGGTGAGTTAGGGTATTTGTGTCATCGTATTTAAATTAAGGCAGTAGGCAATTAAAAATACCAATTGCAATTTCAATTTATTCCAACACCAAACCGATCATCGTAATTAACCGACATATAAAAATTATTCCTCACCGATTGTTGTAGAGCTCTTCAAAACATCAGGTCATGATAGCATCCTTATCTCCGTGTACACACACTGTTTATGTCAATATATGTTAACCTTTCGAAGTCGACGTGTCAAGAACCAGATGCACAAGTTATCCTCACTCACACAAACGTACACACGGGCATGGCACTCGCGGAGTCCCTCAGCTTCCGAGGACTGGGGCGGGGCGGCGCGCAGACACGTCCGTCCGTCACCGCGTCGCGGCAACCACTGAGGCCCGCGCCGCGCAAGCCTCCGCGGGCCCCCGTCAGGGAATATCCACATACTGGATTGGCAGAGTAGTTTGACGTTAGAGCCAATTTCTGACAACGTCGGGGCATCCCCCCCGTGGCCAGGCGAAGCTTTCGATGCGTCGACAGTCGAAAAGTGCCGTTAGACACAGTTAGAAAGCATGAAAATGGTTGTAGTTATCCTTTAGATGGATAGTATATAACCTTTGGTATATTGTATTGCTGGTGCTTTGCAAACTTCTGCGCTATCGTCAGATTTTAGGGTAAACATTCTACAGCACACAAGCTATGTAGCGAAAGCTTAGATTTTAAGTTCTTAAAGGCTTACGGAAGAGTTAACAGAGCTCTCTTAAATCAATGTTGCTCACGAAATAACTTAGCTCTAAGATAGTCGTGACTCTACTGTATCGACGATGACATTAGTGAGGTAAAAAAGTGTATTGAAGTTTAAAGTGTAATAGTACGGTGTACACATGTTAAGCAATTCACAAGTTTCAGATTAGGATAATGATGTGAATATATGAACTAATGTCCCGGAAAAGTTTGGCATTGTCGCAGTCGATACAATTTAGTCCGCGTGTTTATTTCCCAAACAGGGTTGACGTTAGACTGGCCACCGGTTATAAAAACCAGCTAAAACCGCTTACAACATCATTCACATGTTGTGCCAACGCCAACTACTTGGGATAAGGGCAGTAGGATGATGATGATGACAAACATATAAACAAATCTATGGATTCCCGAAACCCAACTCAACTTTACATTTAATAGCGGCTGTCGAAATAAATTCATCTGTACAAATGAAATCGTGCTTTTAAGAGTGAGCTTTCGTTGATTCATGTACGAGTCAGGTCTCTCAAGACGCGCACCCGGAACAAAGAAAAAAAAAGTTGCAATTTATACAGCCCTTGTCGCCTACTGAGCGGTGAAAGTGAGTCCCCAGAGAGTTGAGTGAGTCCCCAGGTGAGAGTTAGGCCCCAAAGATTGACGGCTGAATGTTTAATGACCACGGCGCGACTTACACCGTCCGCTAATGCCTCCGACGCAGACATACGGCAAAGGCGCGCATTGAGGGCAGACCAACCGGATGCGGGCTGACTGCACACATCGACCGACCTGACAGACAGTCTCACTCGCACTGGGACACTCAAAGCACCCCGCTAAGTAAGCATCGCGGAAGTGCAAACGCGAGAGATAGGCTTTTCTTTGACTGCCTTTATCTGACCGGGGAGGCCTAAATGGGATGCAAACAGAGATAAGGTCAGTGGACCTGATGAATGGGAAATTAGTCGGTGCAAACGCCGCCCCGGTGTGAAAAGGAGAAGTGTGCACGTAAACACTTTTATTGCGGTCCGGTTTTTGTGAAGAAATAATCACGAACGTGTAAATAGAGTAAGGCTCTTTTTTCCTAGGCCCGTTTCCTGGACTGCAAACGAATGGGTCGACTGATGAGAACAAACAAGCAGTCGATTGAACGTTCCCGTGGACAGTTATATTTTTCTTTTTAACAACTGCCTCTTTTTTATATGTTTATATATTTATAATTCTTCTGTACTTGTGAACTCCTAAACGGTTGGACGGATTGTAATGATTTTTTTTGTGTCTTAAGGTCGATTCGAGAATGGTTTAGATTTACGATTCGGTTCACTACATTTTTTTTTATTTCTAAGTTGTCGAATTTAAATCGCGTGTACAGGACAAAGTCTGTCCGGTCTACCAGTGTGTGTATATAAAGCAATTATAAAGGACAACAAGCGACTTAAAAAAATTTAAAGGTCAACTGTAAACTTTAAAAATGTCTAATGTTTTAAATATACTCATGAGCAGAAAAACTCAAGCTTCGTACGAGCTTGAATGTCTCTATAAAAATAAGTGTGCCTTGAATTACAATTTTCTTTTTAAATTATTAGATTCTTTCGCTTCCAAATAATGCAAACGAATACTCTATTTTAATAAAAATGCGACCACACCTTTTAATAAACATGCTGTTCTTGCTAATCACCATTTTTGCAACTGCTTACAATAGCGCTAATTGGAGGTTTTCACGCCCTACGAAACGTCATTTACCAGAGCTGCCCTCGACCGCATCTACTGACGATTTTTGAGCTTTTTTTTGCTTATTTAGGATTGTCACCCGCTTGCAAATACGCAGCGGACAATCTACTACATCTTAACTGATGTAATATAACCGTGTGCTGCGCTATCTGATGGCCCAATACATTCGATGCTTTGTCTATTTGGGGGTCCTCCCAGATGTCGAGAAGGCCTTAAGATTATGAATATTCTGATCGAAAGTGTACGGTGCGAGTCAAATTTTAGGCCTCCGTACCCAAAGGGTAAAACGGGACCCTATTATTAAGACTCCGCTGTCTGTCTGTCTATCCGTCTGTCACCAGGCTGAATCTGTTTAAATTTTCAACGATGATATATTTCCATTGCCGCTATAACAACAAATTTTAAAAAATAGGATACAAAATATTTAAGTTGGGCTCCCATACAACAGACATGATTTCTTTTACCATTTTTATTGATACGGAACCCTTCGTGCGCGTGTCCGACTTGCACTTGTTTTTTTTTCTTACGAGTTTATTCCAATTTTGTTTCCTAAGAATACATTGTGTTCATTTGCGTCAGTATGGCGGCAGTCCGCAAAACACAAACGGATATTAAAACATGTAGAAAAAGTACGAAAAGATTGTCATCGCTGTGGGAATCGAACCCACGTCTTCGGCATTCGCGGCCTGACGCTCTAGCCACTGAGCTAAACGGCTAAGTGGCTGATAACCACAGCGACGAAAATCTTAACGCCTTCTTTCTACATTGTTATTTAGCATTTGAAGCAATGCTTGGCGCATCTATTGTTATATCCTTTCCAGCATACAAACAATTACGAATATCGTTTTACAACGATAATTCGAACGAGAGATGTCGCCATTGCTATTTTATAAGATTGTCGCCGCTGTGGGACTTTTCGTACTTTTTCTCCATATTTTAATGTTCAATCTTAAGTGCAGAGATTAACACTATAAAAATTTTAAAATTTACACCGGATAAGTGTAAACAAATGAAACTTAAACAATATTCACATAAAATATAACGAACATTCAAAATCTGTACACAAATTCGCGCCGCATTTGGACCCAAATTAGACAATCAGGATGTTTAATTAAAATCAGTTGAATGCATGTAGAGTTATAAATACTGCTCGCAACATGTACCCGTATATTAACTTTGTGTATTTGTTTGTAAGTTTGTAAAGTAATTTTCAATTTTGATAGAAGAACTGATATTCAAAGTATTTATATTATAATGTTTTAGTTCCGGTACAACAAAATGTGAAACAAATATTTTCAACATCGAGGAAAAGCGTGTATGGCACATCGGATTATACGTCCGAACGAACTATAGATTTTCCTGTAATTTATTGGAACGATTTTGTGCTAATCAAACACAACGAATGCCCCATCTGGAATGGAATACTTTTTACATAACATGCTTCTTTGCATATGCACCTAAGCATATGGAGAAGGAATTTTAAGAATGTTTTGAACCTTAAATTTGAAATTAATTCTGAATATTGCTAATCCAACAATAGAATCAGATAGTTTACTGAGGGATCCAAGTTATATCTATACTATATATAACTCTAAACAGCTGGATTGATTTTGATGTTTTTTTTTTTGTGTGTGGAAAGCGGATTCGAGAATGGTTTAGATTCATTTTTTTGTAAGTTTTTGTCGGATTAACGACGTGTGGACAGGGCGTCTGTCGGGTCTGCCAGTATATATATATATATATATATATATATATATATATATATATATATATATATATATTATGTGAAAAGTTGCCAAGCTAGCAGACGGTTCACCTGATGATAAGTGAATACCGCCGCTCATGGACATCTGCTACACCCGAGGGTTGCAGATGCGTTGACAACCTTTTGAAAATTGAGATCCAGCCACCTCACTCACCAGACGAAACGTGAAAGAATTATACTTCCACTTTACGCTGGTTTTATGTGAGGTCGTGGTACCTACCTGGACGAGCCTGCCCATTCGTGAAACAGCCGAGGCTGCTACGTGGCCCTACCACCCTTTTTACGAAAAGTGCGCGGAGGTATAAAATTTATCACACTTTTGTTTTGTTGCATACATACTATTTTGTTTATTATGTATTGTATTTGGGAATAGATTAATATTGTTCAACTATATAGTTTAAATTAATTGTGTTCGAATGTCGACCACTCATTTAAATTTTATTCATATAAATTTTACCTTTTTACTTAGATTTCTTTGATTTAAGCTTTCTTTGCTAGCATTTTACCCTGAGTGGTCATAATAAGAGTACACATCCCGGACACTGGGTCATTACTGTCGTAAAATATTCACAACGATAGCTAGTCCACGGAAGTGAAACACGTTACGTATTTATAGAAATCGGATCTGCAGCACAGACTATAGCGATAGATTGCCTTAACACGTTCCGATGGAATTTCGACAATAGCACGCGATGCTCCACAGACAGCGGGCTTCAAATACAAATTTAAATTTCTTTATTCAATATAGAAGCATTACACTTGCTTATTGAGTTTCAAAAACACTACTAGGAAAAAATCGGCTTTAAAAGCAATTTTCCTTGTGGCTTTTCAGTAGGCGTTCAATATTTATTATTTATATTTATTTATTATTTTGCCCACCTTGTTATCATTTAACATCAAGTGAGCCGCCGGCTTGCTTGACACCTTCACACATAAAAAAAAATATTAGTAATTATGAAAAAAATATTACGTCCAACAATAAAATACTATATTAAGTTTAGCATTTACCTCTTCCTTAACATGTTCTCGGCAAAGTCAGTCTACCGCTCACTTGGTAAATTATTTCATAACTAGCGATCCGCCTCGGCTTCGCACGGGTGCAATGTATTATACATATAAACCTTCCTCTTGAATCGCTCTATCTGGTAAAAAACCGCATCAAGATCCGTTGCGTAGTTTTAAATATCTAGCATACATAGTGACAGACAGATAGCGGGACGACTTTGTTTTATGCTATGTAGTGATGATTCATAAATCTTTACCATGATCA